TCCCCCCGCGCCCCCGGCCCTTCACGCACCTCGCAGCCCGCGCAGCTCGGCCACGGGCACCAGGCGGATGTGGGCGCTCCGCAGCACGTCCCGGTGCGGCCGGCTCTCTGCGGGGGGACAGCGCGGTCAGCAGCGCGGTCAGCGGCGCGGCCCCCGGCCGGCTCTCTGCGAGGGGACAGCGCGGTCAGCGGCGCGGCCCCCCCCGGCCCGCCCGGCCCCGCCGCCCCCCACTCACGGAGGTAGCCCAGCAGCGCGACCTCGCGCCCATGCCGGGCCAGCGCCAGCGCGTGGTACTGCATCCGCGGGCTGCGGCCCACGTCCCCCAGCACCGCCACGCACACCCGGCCCGCGCCGCCGGTCCGCCGCCGCCGCCACAGCAGCGGCAGCAGCGGCAGCAGAGCCGCCACGGCCGCGCCCGCCACCCACGGCCACGACCACAGGCCCAGCGCCGCCATCTTGGGCACCGCCACCCGCGCGAACGGCGCCCCCTGGCGGCGCGGAGGCGCCGCGCTCTGAGGGGACCCCGCCGCGGCGGCGGGAACCACGGGGGGGTAATTACAGAGAGGGGCAATCAATTAGAGACAGGGCTAATTCATTACGGCGAGTGTAATTAATTGCAGCAATACCGGACAGTCCTCCACTATGTGGGGTTTCCCAGAAAATTTTAGAGCATCCTGCAGCGAGGGGTGATTTCAGCACTATTCGATGTGTGGGGGTTTTTTTTTAGCTCAAATTCAGCTAAATCCTAAAGAGATCCTCACTGGATCTGAATTACTTCCCTCTGTTTGTTGTCTCAAGCCCTGATCCTACCAGTAAAGTAGTGCCAGTACCTACCAAGTACTAAATCCCTGCATCCCACTGGGTTTTCATACATGTAGGTAATAAGCATTTTCCAGCTGTTTTCAGTTTGCTGATCCCTGTTTTCTGGTGGAAATACAGATGCCAAGAGTGAACAGAAGCCTCCTGACAGAAACATTTGCTCCGTTATCTTGCCAAGGCCCTGTGGAAGTGACTGAACCCCACAGTGAAAAATTGTTAAGTTGTGCATAAGTTTAAAACTAAGTTAGTTGTAGTGGCCAGGGATCCAGTACAACGTGTCACACAAGGCAGAGGACAAATGGTATTTCTTCATTACAAATAAGGTTAAAGACACAAATGAAGGATGCTGGTGACCAGGGACAGCCCCCAGGGAATGGCTGGAGCTGTGTCAGGGCAGGCTCAGGGTGGATCTCAGGGTAAAGTTCTTCCCCCAGAGGGTGGTTGGCACTGAACAGGCTCCCCAGGGCAGTGGGCACAGCCCCAAGGCTGCCAGAGCTGCAGGAGGGTTTGGACAACGCTCTGAGGGACAGGGTGAGATTGTTGGGGTGCCTGTGCAGGGCCAGGAGCTGGATTTGATGATGCCTGTGGGTCCCTTCCAGCTCAACATATTCCAGGATTCTATGACTCTCTCTGCCTTCCCTCACGGCCACCCATCTGAAAGGTATACAGTTGTGCTTCTTTGACCCCTGTGACAAAACCAGCTGATGGATGGTATGTTTCACTGTAACTTCCCCTTATTGCAGACCAGCAAGAACGTGGTAACAATGAAACCACTGCTCTTAAAGCAAGAACTAATCACAAGGCTGGGCAGACTGGTTCCACAAGATAATAAAGACTGGAATATTTGCTTGAGGATCCATCTTTTTCTAACTGAGAAACTATAGGATCACAGACTCTCCTGAGTTGGAAGGGACCCACAGGGACCATCCAGTCCAACTCCTGGCCCTGCACAAGATGCCCCAACAATCCCACCCCGTCCCTGAGAGCGTTGTCCAAATGCTCCTTGAGTTCTGGAAGGTTTGAGACTGTGAAAAAGCCTCACTGTCCCACACTGTCTCACATTTCAATACGGTTTTAATGCAAAATGCAAATTGCTTTTCCCTTTACTTCCTTGGATAAAGTGCAAAGATCCTGTCCTGCGATGGAATGAGGGACTGGATTCCTGCAGGCTGTCAGGCACAACAGCCCCAATTCCACACAGCCCTGTTTTCTGACAGGTTATCAAACTACTTAAAATCACAAATGTATGAGCTTTCTGGATACAGTGACTTGAGTTTATGAAGGTAGAGTGCAATAAAAGTCCTTTTGACCTACCCAATCTTCAGAGCACTTAGCTGGAGAAAGATAAATATTTCGAGTGCAGACATCTCTTCTGGCTGAGGCTCTGAAAACAGGAATGCACTTATGAGAAAGACATTTTGAGAGAGAACTGATTTCTGCCTCTAACATTTTTCCTATTTATTGAATAGCAGTTGTGTTTTTCAAAAGAATTTTCCTGTCTTTTCTCCCTGTAACATTTCAGAAAGTTTTGCAGTCTACCCTAGAAACAGTCCGTTTAAGCTCCGTTCCCAGTCCTCCTCCACTTGATGGACTGCTGTGAGTTGCAATAAACAGAGACAGAGCAGCCAAAATCCCTCGGACTGGTGGAACTTCACTCATTCCAGGAGTCTCCAACTCAAATATCTTGAGCAAACCCCACAAAAACCTGCTGCTCCTTTGCTACTTGTATTGACACATAATGTATGTAGTACAAACCTTTTTAAAAATTGCATTTTTTGAATTTGCACTGAAAGGATTAACATGGAATATCTCAGTAATAAGTATTTACACCAATCACACCTGCACTGTGAGAGTATGGACTAACAGCGCTCACAAACACAACACAGAAGCTGTGCTATCTCATCATGTTCCTTTTAACCTCACCAGCTGCTTTTTGGTTGCTTTATTTACTTATTTTCTTCCCACCCAAAAAAAAAAAAAATCCCTAAGTAAAGGGTGAAGGTAAAAGAAGTGCCCTAGGAAATTTTTACACAACTTCCCAAAACCAGTTTCTCCTGACTGGTTTGTATTGGCTTAGACATCTTTTTATCAGATACGGGTATAGGTTACAGAAACACATTTTTTATTTCCACTCAGGGCATAGAAGAGGAAGAAGGGAAATAAGTTAATCAGAAAGAGTAGAGCCAGTATATATGGCTGATTCCCAGTAAGCTCTACAGGCAAATTCAAATTAGTGAATTATTAGACACATTTTTTCACAACTAACAATTTTTAAATTACAGGAAAAGGGTCAAATACTCGTTAATTGTGTTCATTCCCTAATTTTCAGAGCTGGGCCGAAATTCACGTGCAAGACAGAGGTGGAATTAGTATTAGATTATGGCTTTAAAGCCTGACTTAGACTATGACCTACATCAGGTTTAGGGCTGTGTTTTTGTACCAAAGCACAGAACAGCTCAGCTGTTGAGATTCTTTCAGCCCAGTGTGGTCACAAGGTGTTTGCCCAGCACCTGCACATACTTGGACTTTAGACCCTGTTTTTTGGGGAGGTGAATGTGTTTGTGCCATGCTTGAAATGGAGACTTGTTATTTTTAACAACAGGTAGTTATTTACATTAGTGATGAAATTATGTGTCACCTCAAACAAACACTGAAATTCTGGCACCCTTCCTTCTTTGAAAAGCTCTGCAACAACAAGTCACTTATACTCCACTTACATTTAATATTAGTGAGCTGGAAGGGGCTGCTTTAGAGAGGAAATTAAATGCAAAGTAAATTCACTACATAGAGAGGAAAGATTATTGAGTTTTCAAATACTGCTTTGTTTTCATTCCACTTTGCAAGAGGTTTCCGTTCCCTGTGGATTCCAAAGGCAGCTTTTGGCCTGTGGATTCTACACCCCAAGTTGTGATCCTGGCCTCTCTTGAAAGCTGCACAAAAGACAGGGTGAGCTTGGGAATGAGGTGGAATCCTCCTGCTGGAACCCTTAGCTCCCTGTGAAAAGTGGAAGGGGTTTGAGCAAAAGACCAAGCATGATCCTGAGTGAACTCCTGCAGTCCTCTACTCATGCTTTACACAGAGCTGAGTTTAGACCATGGAAACCACGTGTAGTCCACCCTGGAGTTCCAAAGGACAGCTTGTTTGCAGCTGGAAACACAAGCAGGACACCTGCAGCTCTCCACAGCTGAATGGAAGTGGAGGCACAGTAACCCATTTGCTAAGATATCAATTCAGGGGCTTGTGCTGTGGGAGTTTTGTGGTTAATTTGTGAAATAAAAGTACATTTTTCCACCTACAAGGTACCTGAGACTACAGCAAGCTTACCTGTACCAGGTGCAGTTACCCTGGGAGAGCTGAGGCATTATCCACCTCTTGGCACTGGCCATGGAAACACCAGCTCCTCCACCTGGAATATGGCCTTGGGCTTGTGGCTCCACTGCCCTGCTCCCCCAGGCACAGGGGCACCTGTCTTTCCTGTGAGGGTGGAAAGGCCCTGGCACAGGTTGCCCAGAGAAGCTGTGGCTGCCCCTGGATCCCTGGAAGTGTCCAAGGCCAGGTTGGACAGGGCTTGGAGCAACCTGGGCTGGTGGAAGGTGTCCCTGCCCATGGCAGGGGGTGGGACAAGAGGAGCTTTAAGGTCTCTCCCAGCCCAAACCATACTGGGATTCTGTGATCCCTGGGATTCTGTGATCCCCCTGACACACAAAATGGCAGCATCCCCTCAGGGATCTCTGTCCTGGTCCGTGTCCCTCAGGGGTCTCTGTGGCGATCCATGTCCCTCAGGGGTCTCTATCCCGGTCAGTGTCCCTCAGGGGTCTCTGTCCGTGTCCCTCAGGGGTCTCTAGCCCGGTCCGTGTCCCCCAGGGGTCTCTGTCTCTGTCCATTTCCCTCAGGGGTCTCTGTCCCAGTCCATGTCCCTCAGGGGTCTCTGTCCCGGTCCGTGTCCCTCAGGGGTCTCTATCCCGGTCCCTGTCCCTCAGGGGTCTCTGTCCGTGTCCCTCAGGGGTCTCTATCCCGGTCCGTGTCCCTCAGGGGTCTCTATTCCAGTCCGTGTCCCTCAGGGGTCCCTGTCCCAGTCCGTGTCCCTCAGGGTTCTCCGTCCTGACCCCGCACCGACCCCCTCCCGTTCCCGCCGCCCGCCAGGGGGCGCTGCCGGCGCCGCCCGCCGAGCGCCCGCCAAGATGGCGCCGTGTGGGGCGGCGGGGGCCGCGGGCGGGGGGTCTGGGCGAGCGGCGGGGGCTGGGGCTGGCCCAGGCCCGGGCAAGGGGTCGGGCCGGGCGGGGGTCTGTGCGGTCCTGGTGCTGGCGGTGCTCGGCTGGCTGCAGGCGGCCCGCGGCGCCGGGTGAGTGTCCGGGCACCGCCTGCCCCGGGGCGGGTCTTTCCTCGGCTCCCGAGGCCGGGCTGGTGGTACGGCTTGAGCGGGACAGACCCCCCGAACCGGGGTGATTACCCGGGGGACACGGGGGGCAGGGGGGCCGGGGTGTCAGCGGGGCCGTGCCCCCTCCCTCGAGCCGCTGCCGTGCCCCGCACTCGCAGCCTTGGCAGCCCCGCGTTCTCGTTGCAGGAGCCCCCACGCTGCAGCAGAGCCCGCGCTCCAGCCCTACTCCCCGGGCCCGCACGGCCCCCGGCACGGCCACCGGCACGTCCGGGACTGCCAGCCCCGCAGGTACGGCAATGTCACACACGAGACCTGGCCCGGCGACGCCAGCACGGCCGGCCCGGTGGCCGCCACCAGGACGTTCGTCTCGTACTTCCCCCCCGAGGGCAGCGACCGCAAGGTGCTCTACGGGCACTTCACGTTCGTGAGGAACCCCCTGCGGACCCTGTCGGTGCTGGAGCCGGGCGGCGCCGGCGGCTGCCGGGAGCACCGCAGAGCCACCGTGCAGGAGACAGCCCGGCTCGGGAGCTGTCTGGTGGCCCAGAACGGCGGGTACTTCAACATGGACACCGGAGAGTGCCTGGGCAACGTTGTGAGCGATGGGAAGCTGGTGTTGAACTCTGGAGGGATACAGAACGCTCAGTTTGGCATCCGGAAGGATGGCACCATGGTGTTCGGGTAAGAGCTGGGGCTGTGTGGAGAGCGCTCTCCACGCTGAAGGCTTTTGGGCATCACTGGGGCAGGAAGCTTATCCCAGGCGCTGCCTCCTCGGCCTCTCCCAGCTGCAGCAGAAGCACACGTTGTATGCTGGAATTAGGGATGTTCTACCTGTACCCCATGCAGCTATCTCTCCTAGGATGAAAGGAAGCTGGATAAGTTGTTGTGATGATCTCTAGCTGATTAGGTTCCAGTGTCTCCTCTCCCAACATGCAGCAGGGACACTTGACGGTGGTTAAAGTGGAGGAGGGCTCTGACATCCCCAAGAGAAGAGACAGAGTGGACTCTGAGTCTGCTCTGGCTGCAGCACAGAAAGGCTGGGCTTGGAAAGAACCTCAGGAGGAGCCTCATCCAGCACAGGTTGGCTGGAGCAGGCTGTTCAGGCCATGTCCAGCCGGGTTTTGAACATCTCTGAGGATGGAGACTCCACACTCTTTCTGGGCAAACCTGTTTTCTGAACACTTCAGGGATGGTGACTCCACCACTGCCCCGGGCAGCTGTGCCAGGGCCTGACCACCCTTTCCCTGAAGAAGTTTTCTCAATATCCATCTAAACCTCCTCTGGCACAACTTCAGGCCATTTCCCTTTTACCATCTCTTGTTCCCTGGGAGCAGAGCCCGATCCCCCTCCCCCGGCTCCCCCCTCCTGTCAGGGAGTTGCAGAGCCAGAAGGTCCCCCCTGAGCCTCCTTTTCTCCAGGCTGAGCCCCCCCAGCTCCCTCAGCTGCTCCTGCTGCTCCAGCCCCTTCCCAGCTCCGTTCCCTTCCCTGCACACGTTCCAGCCCCTCAGTGTCTCTCCTGTCTGAGGGGCCCAGAAGTGCCCCCAGGGCTGGAGGTGCCCCAGCAGTGCCAGCACAGGGAGGGCACTGCCCTGGGCCTGCTGCTCCAGCCACACTGGCTGGTCCAAGCCAGGTGCCACTGGCTTTATTGTCCCCCTTGGTGTGTGACACTTCCCAGGCAGCTGCAGACAGAGCCCTCAGGTGAGGAATAGCTGGCAGAGGAACTGTAGTGCTCCCTGGAATGAAAGGCCTCAGGAGCTGCAGCAACACTAAAGGGCTCAGAAGGACTGCCAAGGTCCTTCTGATGATTTCAGAAGATGGAACAGCAGCCTGGAAGCTGCTGCAGCTGCTGGCTGCATTCCCCACCCTTCTGGTAGCTCCCTCCCAGGCCTCAGCAAGGGTCCCTACAAAGCCAAACTGGCTGTGCCAAGCCAGGGCTTCATCCTGCAGGTGTTCTCTGACAGCCCTGAGCACCAAGGCCTTCACTTCTGTGCCACAGGGGCTGCCTGAGGTGCTGATATGTCTTTAGTGAGGGGACTTCTCTTAATCTCAGCTCTGTCCTGCTCTCTCCTGCTCTGGCAGAGTGTCCCTGTCAGGGGTGCTCGGTGGCTTTGTGGCTTCCAAAGCATGACCCTAGAAATAGTTTGGGTGTAAATAATTGAGCTCCCAGGGCAGTGGGGAAGGTAATTCCTGCATCATGACCAGCAGGATGGGGGACAGGGCACACTGTTACCCTCACACTGCAGAGCTGTTGCCCCTTTCTGGGCTGATAACGGGGGATTTCAGGCTTTAAAATGCCCAAGCTGTTGTGTGGTTTGTTCCATTCTCAGCCATGTTCATGCTGTCTTTGTGTTCCCTTCCCTTGGGGAAAGGGAGTTCTTTTCACAGGTTTTTCGTTCAGGTATTTGCAATTACACCTTTTTACAAAGCAAAAGGCTTTGCTTGCCCACAGTCATGGATACTAAACTACTAAAAGTTGAGCATCCAGTTCCCACAGGATACCAAAAGAGTCAGTTTTAAACCCAAAAGCACAGGCAGAGGTTACAGCCAGAGCTCAGCTGAACAGCTGCAGCCCCTGCTCCTGCCTCTCCTGTTACAAACATCACCCAGCACCAGGCTCTGGTGAGGCAGGTGTTGCTTATCACCCTGATCCTTGAGAGAGGGCTGTCCCTTGGGAAGCCCCCCGTGGTGACACACAGCACCTGAGTGTGGAAGTGGCAGCTGGACAGTGCTTTTACTGCCTGGCTGGTCAGGGGTAGGGTTTGCTGCCTGGGGGAGCACAGGAAGCTCTTCCCAGATGGAGCACCCAGCAGAGTCTCCCCCTCCATGCGGCTGCAGGGGGCTGGGTGCTGCAGCTCCAAGTCCTCTCCAAAGCTGTTTGGTGTCACAGTTGTGGAATATGGAAGCTGACAGGCAGCAAGATGTTGCAGCTGCTTCCACAGATCCCCGAGTCTTTGGCAGTGGCTCTGGCCTTGTGTTCTGCCAGATGCTTTCTGCCCCTGCTGTCCTGGCTCAGGTCCACTGGCCACATTGCTGGCAGGAGTTGTTTCAGGCACAGTGGCCTGGGACCATCGTGAGCTGGGGGGTTGTGCAGAAGAGCAGAGAACAGGGGCCAGTCTGGCTGCTAAAGGGATGTTTCACACTGCTTGGCCTCTGATTTTGGATGTAACCCCTTTATTCCAACATCTTCTCCCCCTCTCCCTGCTTCTGGAGCCTGCTGGCAGCAGGAGAGGCTCTTACCTGACACTGCTGTGACTGTGGGTAACTCCTCCTGCTCTCTCTTTCCTAGTTACCTGTCTGAGGAGGATGTCTTGGATCAAACAAACCCTTTTGTGCAGCTTGTGAGTGGGGTGGTTTGGCTCCTCAGAGATGGAGAAGTTTACGTCAATGAGAGCCGGATGGCTGAGTGTGGGGACACTCAAACCACAGGTAAACCCTGGGGAGCCTGGCCATGGAGTGTCCTTCCCACAGGGCTCTTGGAAGGAGGGGCACTTCCATGGAATCATGCAATGGTTTGGGTTGGAAGAGACCTTAGAGACCATCTTGTTCCAACCTGCCTTCCAATATCCCAGGATTCTCCAAGCCCCATCCAACCTGGCCTTGGACACTTCCAGGGATCCAGGGGCAGCCACAGCTTCTCTGGGCAACCTGTGCCAGGGCCTCACCACCCTCACAGGGAACAATTTTTCCCTGATATCCCATCTAACCTGTGAAGAGAAACTCAGAGCAGTTGCCTCTTACAGGAGTTTAAAATCGTGGGCTGGTGGATCCCTTGCTTTGTCTCTGCCAGACAAAAAAAGTTAATCAGGAACACTTCTGTGGGGCTTGGATGAACAGGAGGAGCCTGGGCTGTGCTCTCACTGGTTCAGTTCGGGGGAGCCCCTTGGTGGGAGCTGTTTTGCAGACAGAGGTGTGTGGACAGCCTGTCCTGGCCCAGCTGGGGTGTGAATTGTTCCCTCTCCTGCACAGGGACCTTCGACAAGTTCATCGACGTGATCTCGGCCAGGACTGCGGTGGGACACGACCGCCAGGGCCGGCTGGTCCTGGTCCACGTGGATGGACAGACGGAATCCAGGGGGTAAGGGCTTGGGGAAGGTCTGAAATCCCTCAGCTGGAGCGACCCTGAGGCTGCCAGGGCTGTCTTTTAAGGCAGAGACTCACAGAGCTCAGGGGAGCCAGGGAAGGCTCACGCAGCCCCCAGACAGCGAGATGGGAGAGCTGCTCCTTCCACCAAGGAGAGTGACAGACTTCTACCCACAGCAGCTTCACTGAAGTCAAATCAGCAAATCACCCTTGCTTTGCAGGGTCAACCTGTGGGAAATGGCAGAATTCCTGAAGCAGCAGGGAGTCGTCAATGCCATCAACCTGGATGGTGGAGGCTCTGCCACGCTGGTCTTAAACGGGACCCTCGCCAACTACCCCTCTGAGCACTGGTAGGTGCTGGTGGCTCGTGCCCAGGGCTGCACAGGTGGCCCTGCAGCTCCTGTTGGGATGCAGAGCCCAGTCCTGCCCCCAGCTCAGCCAGGAGGGCACAGCAAAGGCAGGTGACAGGATCTGGGGAAGAGAGAGGGGCTCTAAAGTTTTAAGCAATTGAGCGACTCCATATTTTTTCCACTCAGTCAGCCAGGATTAAAGCTGAGCTGGTTTCAGACAGGCAGCAAAGCTGTGACTGAGTGGCCTGATGTGGGAATCGGATAAGGCAGCAGCTCTTAGACTGGGAGATGCAGAGCTGCACTTTTCATGGGAATTAGCAGAGATCTGTCAGCAGCTTATGGAAGGGAACCACTACCTTGGAGACCCTGCCCTGCCTCAGGGGGGAACCTAAAGGACATTTTACTTTAAATTCAGCTTTTTAGTCATCTCTGACTGTAAACATGGAGGGATTTAACCCTCAGTTCCCCTAACTGCAATAATATAATTTATATCAAGGCAAATAACATTCAGGGAAAGGCACGTTGGATGCCAAAACTGGGGAAGCTGAGACTGCTTAAAGGGAGACTTTGTGCGCTGCTTCTGCAATTCCACGTTTGAAATTCCTCCTGTGCAATGGGGATTTCATGGTTAGTTAAAACACTGGCTCAAATCTTGCTTTACGTGTATATTTTCCTATTATTAACGTTGCTGTTGGCCAGTGCGAACGGGGATGGTTCTGGGTGGGGCTGGGGCAGCTCAGTGCCTGCACCGCTCACGTGTCCCCTCCTGTGTCCCCCCAGCTCGTTCGACAACACGTGGCGCTGCCCCCGGCGTGTCTCCACTGTGGTGTGCGTGCACGAGCCGGGCTGCGACCCCCCCGACTGCAGCGGGCACGGGCTGTGCCAGGCCGGCCTCTGCCGCTGCTCCGGGCCCTTCTGGACAGGCCCTGCCTGTGACAGCCTGGACTGTGGCCCTGCCAACTGCAGCCTGCACGGCCTCTGCACCGCCTGTGAGTCCAGGAGAGGGGCTGGGGGTGCTGCGTCCCTGGCAGTGTCCTGTGCCTGGCTGGGTGCTGGGGCTGCCCTCCCACTGCCCCTGCCCCACAGCAGCTGGAGCAGCAGTGGGGATGAGCAGAACACTTCAGCAGCCAGCAGGGCAGGGCTGGGCTCAGGCCTGGCAACCGGGCCTGAAATCAGCCTTGATGTCGAGCTCCAGGCCTCAGTTTCCCTTCCTGCCCCCGGGGTGGTTTCAGTTTTTTTTTGAGGCAAGGCAGTGTATTATGGTGTGTGGCAGCAGCTGGTTCTGCCCCATCCCTTTACTGTTCCTGCTTTACTTGCCTCCCCTACTTCATGATTTTTGTGACTGTGCCGTTGCCACTTCTTCATAAACTCATTTCAAAGCCAGGGGCTGCTGGAATGTCCACCCCCAGCGTCTGCCCCTCTGTGCTGCTCAGTCCTCTTCTCCTCTGCCCTGCTCTGGTTCCCCTCTCACTCAGGTGTGCACAGTGCATGACTGGGCAGAACGTGGTGGGTGCAGGGGTGCAGCAGCTGGCCCAGATCTGATCCCAGGGAATCCCCTCAGCAGGGATTCTGCTGCCTGTGGCAGCTGTAGTGGGGGAACCCACCCTGTGTGTGAGTGCAGGGTTCCTCCTCTGGGGGTTTCCTGGCAGGGGTAAGGGGGCACCTCAAGAGGCAGCGAGCGGCTCCTAATTTTGCATCCCTGCTGTTTCCAAGTGTTTTTTTTTGTTGTCATTAATGGCTGTCCCATGTGTTTGCACAGCTGGATGCCTGTGTGATGCTGGCTGGACTGGCAGCAACTGCACAGAAGGTAAATACTCACTGCTGCTGCACTCTGCTTCTCACAGCCAGGGAGAGGGGACTGGGCACCACTTCCCAAGAGGGACAGGCCAAACACACCCAAGCTGTGGCTGTGCTGGGGTGTGTCACTGTGTAGTGAGGGCCTTGATGACCTCCTGCTTGTCTCTGCAGCTTGTGCTCCTGGTCTCTATGGGGAATCTTGCAGCCAGAAGTGCCAGTGCCAGCACGGTGGCTCCTGTGACCCTGTGAATGGAACCTGTTCCTGCCCCCCTGGCTTCTATGGCACCAGCTGTGAGCATGGTAAGGGCTGCTCTGAAGGGCCCCCTGAGCTGGGAGAGGGTTTTGTGTCACCTCTGAGCCACCTCTTGTAGGCAAAGCAAGAGGGAGGTCTTGCCAGGTGGGCTTAGGCGTGAATGTCACAGCTGGGGTGTCACCTGCTGGCTCCCAGCTCTTCCTGTCCTAAAAAGGACAGCAAGGAGCAGAGAGGAGGGATGAGTTTTCTTCATCAACAGAAAATTGTGAATTTCTGTTTAGTCTCAGCCCCAAAGCTCCTGGGTGTAGAACAGGATCATCCACTGTCCCAGGGTGTTGCACCAGACCCTGCCTGTAGCCCAGGCTTCAGGTGATCCAGGTCAGTGCCTGTGGAGTGCTCCAGAGGCTGTGGTGCCATCCCACCTTCCCAGCCTAGCTGTCCTTGTGCCAGTGCTTACAGGGCTGGTCTGTTCTCCCCTGTGTCACCACTCCAGCTTCTCTGAGGCACTTGGGGCCCCGTGGATCCCTGTGAATAAGTTAATTACAGCAGGGTGTAAACTCCACGTGTGCCTGATTCCATTAGTGATGGTGTTCCAGCCTGGGAATGTCAGACAGCTCCATCCCAGAGGAGTTGCCCAGAGAAGCTGTGGCTGCCCCTGGATCCCTGGAAGTGTCCAAGGCCAGATTGGAGCAACCTGGGCTGGTGGAAGGTGTCCCTGCCCATTGCAGGGGGTGGGACAAGATGAGCTTTAAGGTCTCTCCCAGCCCAAACCATTCTGGGATTCTGTGATCCCTGAAACGTCTCCCTGACACACAAAACAGCAGCAGGGAACTCGCAGCGTGGTGCTCCCAGGCTGCTGCAGGCTCAGCTGAGCTGGGGGAGCTGCAGCCACAGCCTGGGTGGTTACAGAGCAGATGGAGCTTTGGCAATAACCAACCTCTTTGTCTCAACTCCCCAGAGTGTCCCCTGGGCTGGTTTGGGCCCGACTGCCAGAGCCAGTGTGAGTGTGAGCACTCCTGTCCCTGCGACCGCCAGAGCGGCAGCTGCAACACCACCCACGACGGGGCCCTGCAGGAGCAGCTGCACAGAGGTACCTGCAGGGCCTGGGGGTTGTAAAAAACCATTGAAAGAGCAGCCTTAGTGCAGAACAGTGGTTTAGTCACCAGCTCTGCTTAAGCTTGCTCTTTATTTAGTGGAATTTTACACCCTCCTGCCCAACACTGCCTTTCTTCCCTCTTTGTTTTCCAGCTGGACAGTGTTTGGCTTCCCAGAATAAGGAGAGGAGCACAGGAAGATTCTCTCTGTCAGAGTAAGTGGGTGGTACACACAGAGTACCTCAGAGGCTGCCACAGGGCACGGGGTGGGGCTCAGCCTGGAGAAAAGGAGGCTCAGGGGGGACCTTCTCATTCTGCAACTCCCTGACAGGAGAATGGAGCTGGGGGAGGTCGGGCTCTGCTCCAGGGAACAGGGACAGGAGGAGAGGAAACAGCCTCAAGTTGAGCCAGGGGAGGGTTGGATATTGGGGAAATTTCTTCATGGAAAAGGTGGTCAGGCTGTGGCACAGCTGCCCAGGACAGTCAGCAACCCTGGGGGGATTTAAAAGCCTGTGGCTGTGACACTTGGGGACGTGGGTTAGTGGTGGCCTTGGCAGCACCAGGGGACTTGATTGTCTTAGAGGGCTTTCCCAGCCTAAAGAATTCCCCGATTCCCTCCTGCCTGAGAGCAGAACCACAAACTTGGGAAGGCAGAGAAGGGAGGACAACCCTTGACAAATCATTTGCACCCTGGGAACGCGCGACACAGGCCGAGCTGTGGCTTACGTGGATTCTTCTTGTCCCCCAGGAGCACGTGGCTATCCCTGAGCTGCGGGCTGGCCCTGCTGCTGGTGCTCAGTGCCCTGGGCAACGTGGGGCTGGTGCTGAGGGCGCGGTCGGAGCGGCAGGGCGGGGACTATCGGTACCACCCCCTGAGGGACATCAACGGCACGGCCACCCACACCCCCAGCGCCGCCGCATGGGAGCCAGAGGACACTCAGGACTCACTTTAGAGTGCCCGATGGGAAGAGAGGAGGTTTTCCACTGTGTCCCCTGCACAGCCCCTCAGCACTGGCCGGGACAGTCACTGTGCCTGAGGTACCTCAGCCCAGAACTCCCCTCGCTCAGTCCCGGCTCCCTCTGCTGCTCCAGCCCCAGCACCCAGGGCTGTGTCCCCTGGGACGTGATGGGATGCAGGGCACCGGGAAAGGGACTTTCACAGCGGCAGCAGGGAAGGAAAAGGGCTGGTTCCTTCGAAATCTGGAGGGAACCAGGTGAGCAGTGCCAGCCACAGGCACCTCAGGAGGGTCCCTGCCCACCTGGGCAGTGCTGAGTGTTTTTGAGGCTCAAGGTGAACTGCCTCCAGCACAGAGCTGGGTTAAGGAAGCTGCTGCCTAAGGGTGTTATAGTCCATGTCTGCCCTTCCCTGGGGAGCTCAGATTTTAATCAGAAAAGTGACAGAACGTTTTAAAATGTTGAAGCAGATGCAGCACTGAGTGAAACCAGAGCCCTCCTCCTGACCAGGGTCACAGGGTTGTGGCTTTCAGGCACCCCAGTGTTTTCTGAGCCAGTCCTCAGCCCCAAAGTGTGTGATGAGCGCTGCATTTTGGGGAGGCTCTTGCAGCTCAGCGACTGGAAAAGCCTTGTCAGGTCACAAGTTCCACTGGTGCATCTCCTGTAGGCTCTGGGGGCTCAGGGACTGTCACCAGCCCGGGAAGGGGACAGACAGGGACAGCCTGACATGGCTGGCAGGACACAGCCTGGGCTGCCCTGCCCCAGCTGGACTCTCCTCAGAGAGAGCACAACCAGCAAGTTCTTCAAGCCCTCCCAGCTCCCAAACACCTCATCTGGAAATCCAGAACCCCCTCCTTGCACAATTAAACTGAAACAGTGTTTGAGTTTGTTCCCAGTGAGGGAAAGGCAGCCTTTACCCTGCCCCTTGGATGCTGCAGAGGGGTGAGAGCCTGTCTGAGCCCCAGCACTCACAGGTTTATGCACTCACTCCCTTCTTCCCTCTCCAGGGAAAGGATGTGTAATTTCTGTGCCATCAGGTCAGCCTGGAACCAGAAGACTCTATTTTTCTATGATTTACAGAAGATTATTTGAAACTTGAATAAAGTCTATTAGTGCTACCTGCCTGAAACTCAGTCCTGCTGTCCAGCTGCAGAAGGAGCCGTGATCCTCTCCCAGTTCACCTCAGCCCCCCATGGGAATCCAGAGGCCCTTTTATTTGAAATAACAGCCACACTGCAGGATGTGCTGTCCCAGCCTGCTCTGTGCTGGGAAAAATAAACAAAAATGCTGGTTCTGCAGGGAAAAAAATATGACAATTTTAATTCAAAAGCAGGAATAAGTGAAAACAAGCCAGCCTTACTTCTGCTTCCAGAGGAAAGAGCAGCACACAGGCTGAAATTCCCAGTTTCCCCCGATCTGAACAATTGCATCAAACAATTCCACATATTCTTAGAGATGCTGTTTTATTTCCAACATACCCGAAGGTACCCACAGACAAGCACTGAAGTACATTTGTTGTCAGGGAACACATTACAGGGCCCTGCAGTTTGCAGAGGGCTCTTAAAGGAGATTTGGCTGAGAAAAATGAGATTTTCGGTAAATAAAACCAAAGCCAGCTGCAAGGGAGAGAAAGTAAGTAAAATAATTAATGCCCATTTAACTGATGCATGTAACTAAGAACTTGGAGGTGGGTGTTGGAGTTACTTAAAGCCTGTGCATGTGACACAACTCCAATTTTGCCTTCCAAGAGAGAAATAATCGGGTGTGAGGATCGTGACAAACATGTTGGAGGAATATTAAAAGCTGAATCCATGCAGGAATCTTTGACAACTGCTGTCAGTTAATAGTCTAATAGCTGCTCCTTGCATTAATTGCTCACAGTACAAACATTTGGGATGTATCAGCAGTGTGTGCCTTTGGAAAGGAGGGATTCCCAGCCTGGAGCACGGCTGGCCTGGCCCTCAGCACTTCCCACCAGGAATTCCGAGCTCGGGAAGTGGTCCAGGTTTGGGACGAGTGGATTATGATTTTTTCAAACCAAACCGGGATTAGCAATTCTTTTTCCGAGTTGGTTTTTCGCCTGTTCCTGAAAGGGATCCGACAGACCCCAACTGGTCGGACGTGGCAGCAAACGCTCCCAGCGCTCACTCCGGGCTCCCTCACCTGGGCACAGCTGGGAATTCTCCTTCCCAAAAAAGAGAAGTGAGCGAGTCCAGGAGCTGAGGAGCTGCTGAGAGGTGCTGTGGTGCCTCCCTGCAGCCCGGGGAGCTGCGGCAGCGCTGGAGCTGCCCCGGGAGCCCCGGGGGCTCCTCCTCTGCTGCAGCAAAAAGCCCTTTTCACACCTGAGAGGCAGCGAATGTTCAGCCAGAAGGGCCCGGGACTGAACGATCCACCATCCATCCTCGTGCTCCGTGTCTGCCTTTCCCAGTCCTGCTGGGACAGACCCCAGGGAATGGGGCAAACCTGGAGGAATCACCGAGAGTAAAAAGGTTTCACCTCTGGCCATAATTAACCGTAAACTACGGCCCAGCCTCCTGCAGGACAGCTCTGAGGTAGGTGTTGTGTTTGCATATGGAACAGCTGCAACAGGGAAACCCCAATTTACCGGGAGCTGATTTTTAACTACCTGAACACAGCCCGAGCTCAATGGCTTTGGAGCAGGGAGGGCCTTGCTGCATCACCAGTCAGCACCCAAAACAGGCCATTTCCCAAGGTTTTGCCTTAGGAGAGGGTCCAGAGGATCCAGAACTCCTCCCAGCCTCGACTCACGGGAAGCTGCTGTGAAGAAAACCGTGGTTTTGTTTCCTAAAGCACACTGATGTCATTTGAGGGGAGAAAGGTGATGCAGAAGAATTCTGTCTCTGGTATCTGCAGTTCACAAGGTCAGGTTTAAAAAGCACAGCACCAGCCACAACATCCAGGCTGTTGCTCCCTTTCTCCTGTTAACCTTCTGGAAAAATAGGGAAAAAATACTGGATTATTCAAATTGGTTTCAAAATAAAGGAGTAGGTGGGATAACCCAGGCAGCTCTGCCAAGAGAGAGGTCACAGGCTGCTTCCCAAACACACCTGTGCCGTGATCTCATGAGAGAAGCAGCACTGACAAGGAACATGAGGAAAAACTAGGATTGGGATGTCCCTGGAGCCGGGAACACTCCGTGGGACCAGCCCTTCAGGCCTCCCTGGCTCCTTCACAGACCTGCCAGGGGTGCCAAGTTCTACTCACTGACAAGAGTTAAAACACCCAAAACTTCTAGTGTGGGTGGAAAACAGCACATCCCACATTTCAAAATAAACTCTAAAAATATCCCAGTGCAAAGGATGAGATCCTTAACCATAGGAAACCAGGGGAACCACAGGAAACAGGAACATTGCCAGTGTGGGACGTGAACAACCACGTTAAAAACTGAGCCCCAAGAAGATGAAACTGTGAACCAGCACAAGGGCTGGGTTTGCTCCTGGGGGCTTTGGGAATTGGTTGAAACTCTATTTCCAGCATCAGAATGAATTATGGATAAAGGATTTTCCAGGAGGGATACACACATGCACTTTTACTGTCAGAACTCCTGATTTTCCAGAGGGAAGGTGATCCTTGTCCCACACCCTCAGACTCCATTGATGCTGAAATGCCCGAGGCAGAAGTTTCTAGGACAAATGCTAGAAGTCCATGGAACAAGTGGGGAATCCTTGGAAATCAGAACTTCCCTGAGCCCTGCAAGGTGGGAGAGTGATTCCCTTGACTCCAATCCTTTAAAAAAAAAAAAAAATCACCAAACACCTCAAAACCACATCAAGTTCTCATCTCCCGTTGTTCGGAATACTTGGGCTCCTTCGGCAGCACCTGGTGCTTCCAAACCAGGAATTAAAAGAGCAGGGTGGGAAGGAATGACTCCCCAGATTCCATCAGCCTGAATAAAAATTTGGGGAGTATTTGACACCTGTTCTCATTTTGGTGTCACATGGGCAAGAACAGGGATAAGGTCACTCTCCAACCACCCACTCTGCCAGTGGAGCTGAGGGACAAACACGGGATTTTTGGTGTGCAGGAAGACAGCGAATCTTCATGACAACTCCTGAACTCAATCCTGGCTTCTTAATCCTGAGAAACAGTCCAAAAAGCACTGGACTCTCCCTTTCCCTTGCAGGGAAGGTGCCACAGCCCTTGCCCCAATGCTCTGTATGGTGCAGCCCTTTTGCAAAAACACCCAGCGGTCACAAAGATTGGGATTTCAGTAGAAAGACCTCTTGGGATTGAAGACACTCAGTTATTCCTTTCTAAAAACCAAAGTTCATTCCGTTAAAAAAGGCGGCTGGATTTAATAAACAGTCATTTCTGACATTATAAATAAGTTAAAATTAATTTAAAAGAAGCTAGCATTGAATAAATAGGCTTCAGTAAGTGCTTACAAACACACAGGCCTCTTGAAAGGTTTCAAGTGAGCTCATGTTTTAACGAAGCAAGTTCTGTAAGAACTGTAAGCAAGTTACTGCCAGAAAATCTTGTGCCTTCAGGAAATCAAATATTGCTTTGCTTAGCCCTTTAGAATCAGATTCAGTTCCCATCCACTCAGGGACGGGACAGACCTACTCATTATTGCTGTAAACCTGAGGAGAAAGGAACAATAATTTACCTTTAGGAAGATGCCACTTGCTGGAGGCAGATTCCCTGCCTGGACTTTTCCAGAAAACTGTTTTGACTTTTGTCTGAGCAGGGTGACAAAAATCCACCACATTTCCCAGTAACATCCTGCCAGACCAGGAGAGGTTTTTGGTTTGACCTGGAAGTGATTTCTGAACTGTCCTACCTGTACCAAGGTGTCCTTCCAAGGCCCTGCCCCTGGAATGCCCAACTTGACTGTGGGCACCCAGGAAACTCCATTAGTTTTGCTACCCAGGAATAATCTGAAGGTCCAACGGGTAAGGCAACATCAGCCTCCTCTGCCTCACATGGGAAAAGGACCGAGGGGAGAAGCCCTTTGGAGAGATTCCTGCAAACTGACACCCATCCAAAATCCACAGGTGGTGAGAGGGACTCTGGAGGAGCAGGCAGCTGCTGCAGGACTCCACATCTGCCAGTGGAATTCCAGGTCTCGTGGTTTGAGCAGCTCCCAGAGGCCTCTCTGTGTCCCAGTGGCTGCCACACAACTGCCCAAGGCTCAGCCCTGGGGCTCTTTGGTTTGGGGCTCGGAGCAGCTGCGGGGCCGGGAAGCCCCAGGTGGTCTCTCCCTGCAGCCTTGGCTCTGCTATCTGGAAAGGTGGGAGCTGCTCTGGGACTGGCTGGAGGATGTCGTGACTCCACTCAGCTGGGAGAAGCCGCTGTTGCAAGATTCCAGGCTGGACATGGATCCCCTGGGATGGGAGGGACAAAGCAGATGTGCTGTTAGGAAGGCAGCAATTAATGGAGAGCTATTCCCCTGACAGATTAGCTTACCCTCTATAGTGCTTGCACAAGTGCTTTTTGTCCCATCATTTCCCACTTGCTCTCTAAGAATCTCTATGCCATCATGAAAAATTCATTAGAGATGTTTTTTCCCCAGTTACAGATACTATTCCTCGTCTCTGGCTGTTCTGGGGAAGGGGACAGAGCTGGAGCCTCTGCAGGGCTGTTTTTGCTGCCCCCTGAGCAGAAAGGAAAACTCCAGTGCACCCCAAATGCAGCAGGCACTGTGAGCCCAAGGACTGGCACAGAGTCCCAACTTCAGAGTGCCCAGCCATCATCTCCAGCTGCTGCCAAAAGCAGGCTGGGCTCACTTAAAGCAGGAAGAGCACCAAGGAACATCTTTGCACAGCTGGAGGGAGGTGTTTGGTGCTGCTCTGACTCCACAGGATCTGCCCAGGTCACCTCTCAAGGTCACCACCTGCAAGTCCGTTCTGCCCAACACTTCCTCCAGCTCTAGGGAGGTCAAGGACTCACAAAGAATTCAGATTAATGGTGATTGGGAAGTCCTTTCAGCACTGGAGGAGGAGGCCAGGCACACCCTCCCAAAGGCTGACTGTTCACCTGCTCAGAAGTGCTCTCCAAGTCACTGCTCATCCTTCTCTGCCAGACAGAGTATCTGGGAAATAGCCCAGCTGATATTTGGCTTACTTCAAAAGTAGCTCTCTCAAAATCTTCCCCACTAAGATAAACCTCCTGAGTCAAAAACCTCCTGCTCTTCTGGTAGCTGCAAGCAAGACCTGAAACCCGAATTCCTCAGGTGGACACACAGCCAGGGGGGCCCTCAGTACCTCCAGCACTAAAGGAGATTGTTTGTGCCAAATGCCACCGAGTTTGTGCCAAAGTTATCACCAATGAAACACACACCCAGTGGGGGTCGCTGGTACCCAAACGTTTAACTCACACTCAGCCCTCTCATTTGGCTTCTCTAGGGCAAAATCACGCAGTGAATCCCCCCCAAACGTCCCACCTGAAGTCCTTGGAGGCCAACACCTCGTAGAAGTAGATGAGTTTGCACTTGTGGCCGGAGCCCTGCAGGGAGGCCAGGACATCGTCCACGCGGGGCAGGCTGGAGCCGGAGCAGGGGGGCGGCCCGTGCATCTTCCACTGCAGGATGTAAAACCCCGGCCAGCGCGTCACGTGCGACCCCTGGGGACAGGGAGGGACACCAGTGACCACTGGGAGTCCTGGGAAATGGCTAAACGACCCAGTGAAGCAAAAAAAACCCCGAGGGGGCTGATAGCTCTGGGCACAGGTGTCACCTCTTTCACCTGCCTGAGACACTCCCCTGCAGTGCCAGTAAAAAAGGTTCTTTTCCACCAGGTTTTTACCAGGGAGTCTCTTGCCAATGGCTCACTCTAAAGCAGGGCTGGGACAGCAGGCACTTTCACAGGGAACCCAGAGAATGATCAGAGAATTCTGGAATGGTTTGGGTTGAAGGGACCTCAAAGCTCATCCAGTCCCACCCCCTGCCATGGGCAGGGACACCTTCCACCAGCCCAGGTTGCTCCAAGCCCCGTCCAATCTGGCCTTGGACACTTCCAGGGATCCAGGGGCAGCCACAGCTTCTCTGGGCAACCTGTGCCAGGGCCTCTCCACCCTCACAGGAAAGAATTTTTTCCCAATATCCCATCTAACCCTCCCCTCTGGCAGTGGGAAGCCATTCCCCCTTGTGCTGTCCCTCCAGGCCCTTGTCCCCAGTCCCTCTCCAGCTCTCCTGGAGCCCCTTTAGGCACTGGAAGTGGCTTTAAGGTCATCAATTCCTTCCCCACCAGCAGCTCATTTTGGAGTTTGCAGGACTGTGAGATTCCTGCCAAGCCCTCTGACCTGGATGCTCCCCCAGACCCCCCTGACCTGGATGCTCTCCCCTTCCCGGCAGACCAGCGGGGATTCCACGCGGCTGAAATCCACGCCCAGCACCCAGGTCCTGTCGATGAGCTGCACGTTGTCCCCAGCACAGGGACCTGGTAACGTGGATTCCTTGTGACAACTTGGCTCAGGAGCTCGTTTGGAGTGGAAGAGGCTGAACACCACGTCCCCCTTCAGGATGTCGAAGTCCCAGGTGATGACGGATTCCCCTTCCAGAATCTCCACGACTATCTAAAGCAGGAGCAGAGCAAGCCCATTGCAGGGTCAGGTGGCACCCGGTGTGCTCCTCCCCACCCCGTGGAGCACACACAGTCCTTCAGCTGGCTCATGGCCTTGATTCCTGAGGAGGATAGAGACCATTCCCGTTCCCAGTCTCCTGCCACAGGACATCTGCTCAAGTGTTTTCATCCTATCTCTTCCCATATTAGAGTTCCTTGTAAATCAGTCACTAGTTCTGGGAAAACCTCTGTGGAAAAGAGGCATAGAACACAGCAAGGAGCCAAATCAGAGTCACTCCCCATCAGTGAGAACAGAGGCCTGATTGGACACTCAGGTGCTCCTTTTGGGACATTCTGTTTCCTGCTGACTCTCATCAGGCTCTTCCCAGCACACACCTTCTTATATCACCCCCACTGCCATCCCAGCCTGCACTGAACAATCACTTCAGCTGAGAGCTGAACTGCCAGAGGGGAAACCTTTAATTCCCCCAGGAGGAGAAGGAAGAGAGTGCATCTTACAGAAGATCAGGCCATAGCAGAGACAAGTGACGCTGCTTCTCAAGGGGCTGTTCTTAACTCCCACACTTCCAGCTAACACCCCTAACATCACCCTTCCAGGAGCAGCACTGCTGCCCAGCCATCTCCTGCTCACCCTGGGGAGCCCTTTGCCGCTCTACTCAGCCTCACAGAAGGAACCCCCCAGTGTCCCAGCTCAGCCCCTCCTGAGCCCGGGGAAGTGGGGTCTGTACCTCGTGTGGAGCTCCTCTGAGCACACTTGCAGAGTGGTAAATGGTTTCTGTCCACAGCCGGATGTGATCAGCGTTCTCTGGCTCGTCCTCGGTTTGGTACAGTGACTTGGGGACAAGGCCACCTTCTGGGACAGTGCACTGGGCAGAGGACACACAGACATGAGGCTTCATGGTGTTCCAGGCGGGAATTACAAGTCACCTGTCCCGGGAACACTTGGTGTGTGTCAGACACAGAGTAACACCCTCAGCTGGGCTAGGACTGCACAGCGGGACTGAGGTTACTGAACTGTCAAGGTTTATCTGAGCTCCATTTAGAGTTGACCTCTAATCCCCTTCTCCAGGGCAGCACCACCACTTCAGGGTGGTCTCCTGTGCCCAAATTACCTGCCCTGTGCCCGGAGCAGGGGGTATCCCAGTCAGCACAGAGGTTTAACCCTTCCAGAGGGCAGTGGAAGGCCAGGGTGGGGAGGAAGAGGGAATCAACTCCACCTGCACAACAGCAAAGAACACTCACCATGCAGTCTCCTCCCAGGAAGTCTGGGATCACCTCTTTATCCACATAGTCCACCAGCCCTCCTGAGCCCTGGTAGTTATTCCCACTGTAAATGAGGAACTTCTGCCGTGTGTTCTCATTGATAAAGGGACTGACCTGAAGGAAAAAGGACACAGAAGACATCACTGTCACTGAGGGAAGTTAGAGAGAACATTTGCACCACCTCACAAGGATGCTTTAGGCTCTAGACTGGAAGGTCTCAGCAGTGGGAATGCAGCCCAGTAGCTCTGAAATGCTGAAGTACTTCCCCAAAGACAGGGGTCACAAATGGAAAGTGAACTCTGACCGGGGTATGTTGGGGTTTATTGTCATCTCACAACATTTCCTACTTCATGTAAAAGAAGTTTGCTGTCACTGCCTCACACAGAAACCTCACAAGGAATTTAATGGCCATGTCTCACATTACAGCAGGCACCAGGCAGAACCATATTTATTATTTATTACTTATTACTCCTCAGTGTCCTCCAGCACGAGGTTAAAAAACATCCATCTTCCCATCCATACGAGAACCCACCGAGCTTGAGCTCCCACTGCATGAAGAGCTGCAATTTAGGTCTGACACCCTGTCCTGACAGATGACAATCACTGGGATCAAGTGAGCTCCAGGCACAGGCTGGGCTCTGCAGCAATGCTGTGGCCTCTTCAGGAGTTCAGCCTGGAGTTACCTGGGAGCTTCTCCCTCCCTGGCTCGGGCTGGTTCAGCTATTTGTTACACGCACAGCTGTTTGTGATCTGCAGCCCAGCTGTCACCCACCAGGGTCCAGAGCACAGGGAACACCCGGGGTGCTCTCACGATGAGGAGCCTGCCCAGGGTTTCGGGGTAATTGTCCTCCACCACCTCGATGATCCGGAGCAGGGCCTTCACCCCAGGCCGCCACAGGTGACGCATGTTGAGCCCTTCCAAGTCCACCAGGCACGTCCAGGATCTAAAATAAACCCCCAGAGAAAGGCCTGTCAGCACTGCAGTGGCCAGGGGCTGCCCAGTTTAGGATCCACAGCACACCAGTAACGCCACAGCCCGTGCAGGATCCAGGGGAGCCAACAAGGGAGAGCAGGAGTTCCAATAAAAAGCAGATCTCCAGTCAGGCAGGAGACACCTGAATCCAGGTGAGCTTCAGGTACAACAGACACCCAGACTTAAGTGCAAGAACGTATAATGTCACACTAGAAGGGGTGAAAGTGTGCAGGCTTATTGCTAAAAATAATTTAAAAATGCATTTTAAATGAATGTGAAATATGGCAGGCAGGTTCCTATAAAGAAAAATCACTATAATTACAAAGATATGGATTAAAATCACCAAGACAGGAAGACTAAATTCATCTGAAATGTGATATAAAGAGATATAAGGAAGGACTAATACCTGCTTTCGTATGAAACTGTAGAATTTGTCTGCATTTTAGTCATATATACATGTATATACACATATTGTTCCCCAAACAGTCTGCGACAGACACGCTCACTGTGTGTGTCTGCACTTCAGCCCTAAGGACACCAACCCAGTCATCCCAAACCTCCACAGCAACATTCTTCACCGTGTCAGTGAATCTCTGTAAGGGGTTCAGGGAAACCAGCAATACTGACGTGATGGGGCGGCCAAAGATGTTGGTGTTTTCCTCACATCTCTTTTGCCCTTCCTCGTTAATGGACAGAACCTGCAATCAAGGAGAGCACAGACAAGGATTAGCCTGAGGATGGCTGAGGAACCAGGACAGCCTGGAGATCTTATTTTAAAAACCACAGAACCCAGAAGTACAGCAGAGGGCAGGGTTAGATGGGATATTTGGGAGAAAATTCCTCCCTGTGAGGGTGTCAGGCCCTGGCACAGGTTGCCCAGAGAAGCTGTGGCTGCCCCTGGATCCCTGGAAGTGTCCAAGGCCGGGTTGGACGGGGCTTGGAGCAACCTGGGCTGGTGGAAGGTGTCCCTGCCCATGGCAGGGGGTGGGAGTGAGATGAGCTTTGACCTCCCTTCCGATCCAAACCATTCCTGCTTTGACAGGCCCTCTAAACACCCCGAGGGGCAGAGAGCTCCTCAGGTGAGATGTGAAGGCACAACTCACGTGTCGCAGCAGGGACTCCTCTCCCAGAGCTTTCACCAAACCCTTGGTGTCCATCTGGCCGAGGCGGAGGATGTAGAGCGGCCGCCCATCTTCAAAACAAACAGGAGGCTTTCAAGAGGGAAGCACCCCAGTCTCCAGGCTACCTATCACCCTAGAACCTTTTACAAAAGCCCCTTTGAATGTTTTGAGAAGGATAAAAATCGGATTCAAGGCAGCCTTATCAAAGAGGTGCTGCTTTGCACTGACCAGTCTGCCTGAACTGAGCAGAGAAAATAAATTTACAGCAAACTAGGGTGGCTGTTTGCAGGCACCGAGCTGCTCTGGTAACTATTAAAGTGTCAATACAACTTCCTCCAAACTCCCAGGTGACTGGTGAGGTCCCATCACCAGACTGGGCTGCAGTATCGGTGTCAGCTCCTCACCTTTGTCCTGGTAGTGCCACCCCCCCGTGTAGTACTCCTGCAGGAGGGCAGGGGGCCTCCAGGACTGCAGGATATAATCCACCTGGTACTGCTTGCGCCACGCCAGCGACTGGCACAGCATCTCCCGGGCCTTGTCGATGTTGAAGTCGCGAGCGCGCAGGAAGCGCAGGATGTGCTCGTCCTTGGGGATCTGGGGGAGGAGAAAGGCCCAGGGGTCAGGCCTGGCACGTGCCATGTGCCCTGCAGAGGAGGCTGCAGAGTGCACACTGCTTTTGAATCTCTTAAAACCAAGGCACTAAACCAAACATGACACCCGTGTCCCTCCTCCCTCCTGAGCTAACCCAGCTGGCAGCAGCAGAGGGTGCCAGGAGCAAACAGAAGGGCCCAGCTCCCTGCCTTGGGGAAGCCTTTCCCTCATCCAAGTCCCAGAAGCCCTAGCAAACCCCAGGCTGGCTGATGTTTCCCTTGGCTGTTTATCCACAAGGACAAGCACAATACCATGTGAAAGTCAGGGAGCTGCAAGTTTACCTGCCCAGGGCAAATCAGCACAGGATGGAAACCAGTCCCAGCTAACACCTTAACCAGGTCAAGCATGGGCTGTTTGGAGGGGCATCAGCCTGTGCAGTCTGAATGATCCCACCAGCACCAATTCCAGCCCTTGTGCAGGCCCTGCTGCTGGTGTTTAAACTGGCAAGCTGCTGAATGCTTCCAAAGGCTTCCCTGCCCCCCCCCCACCACACTAACTCTTGCTCCAAATCAACCAAGCTACGATATCCCCCTCTCTTTATCACTCATCCCAACGCTATCAGTAATTGTGGCATCACAGGCACAAAATTGCTTTCCCAAAGCAAGCCTGTAGAATGGCTTATTCCAACCTCCTCCCAGATCTCCCATGTTCCCCTTAGCTGAAAAAAAATCAAGGAAAACTTGCCAGCAAAGCCAAGCAGCAGGAATTACAATGACTCTGACAGATTCCACAGCAGCACCAGATCTCACCAACAGCCTGTCAGCTGCAAACCCAACTGGATTAGAGCTCCACGTGCTGCTGGATTCATTCACCCAGCTCCACCAAAAGCTTCCATTAAAAATCCAAGCTCTGTGGAGCACGGATTGTGTCCCCCAGAGCATCCACACTGCTTAACACAAGCACTCCAAGCCCTGCTGTAACACAAAATAGCGTGCTCAGGAGTCAAAGCTCCTTTGTTTGTCCACTGCCACGCTCAGGAAAACAGAAATCAGGACAGAAAGAATCAGGCAGCAGTGTCGGGCAGGAGCAACCTCGGTTTCACAAGCTGAGAACTGACTCACCTAAAGAATGGGGCAGAGTTCAGGCAGCCCCAAGTAAACCCAAAGCACCTGAGGAGCAGGTAGGAGATTAACACTGTTCAGCACGTTCTAATACTGCATCTGTTCGGCATGGAAAGGGAAGGGCAGCCTTCCCAAACAGGATCTCAGGAGTATCTAGAGGAATGCCCCCAACGTTTCCTCTGCATCACAGCAAGATTAGAGACAGCAGAGTTTTCATCAGATGATTTACCTCTGGGCTCCTGCTGCTCAGAGGCAGCTGTTACTCAGCAGACATCAGCCCCAACACCCACAACAGCCCCTGCACCTCCTGCAGGACCCAGGAGAGGGGATGGCTGGGGGAAGGTTTGTTACTTTTCACGTTTTCAAACCTCCTCTGTTGGTTCACAGCTTCAGGCAGGAGGCAAAGCCAGGGCTTCTGTTTGGACCAAAGGCAGGAAGCTCCGAGGGGACTTATTCCACAGTGGAATTAGTCTTTCATCCTTGTCCAACCAAAGCAGTAACTCCCACGTGCAAGAAAATGAAGTTTTAATTTCAGCCCGGTGTGAAACTGTGTGCACTGTTCTACACAGTGCAAAGCCATGATTGGGAGCTTCAAGTAGCTGCAATTTTAACACCGTTCCAGTTTGTTCCTTCAGCTCCTCAGATTTTTAAAGCAACAATAAATCTGATTCTAAAGGCAATGCCTGCTTTGGAAGGGACAGGGAAGGGATAGTGAAATAGGACAGAAAGGACGAAAATAAGAAGGGCCATTTTCCAAGAAACAGGAGATCTATTTTTTGATCTTTTCTGACAGAGGAATAAGGACATCCCTGCTCAGAATGAAAGGAACAGACTGTCACAGCAAGGTAACAGCCTCTCCAGGGAAAACCCAAGGCTTGGAAACCCAGCTCCTGGTTTTGTACTGTTCTGATCAGGGGAAGTGAACAGGGGAACAGTGTGAGAGGGTTCAGGATGAATTTCCAATAGCCAGCACCTTCCTTCCTCCAGTGTTCAAGCTCCCCTGGGGATTGAGCTCCCAGAGCCCACCCAAGGGTAGGAGAGCTCAGCAATCAGCTGTCCCTGGCCCAGCACATCCCACCGAGCTCCAAGCACCCCAAGGGGCAGCTGTTCCCCTTTTCCTCACGTGCCCTCACTTTTTGCTTCTCCAGCTTCCATTCCCCAGCCTTTGACACAGAGGGGGGAAAAAAAACAACCCAGAGAACGAAACAGGCAAATGTTTGGATGGTGCCTGTTCCAGCTGAAAGCAGGATCCTTGCAGATCACAGGGATGGATAAAGCCTCCCTGTCTTGCTCCCATCTAGGGCTCGTTTTCAGTGGATTCCCAATAGGTGAGACATCTCCTACCACACCACTGTTTTACTGGACAGGCCTCCACAGACCTGAAAAACCTCATGTCCTGTGTTTCAGAGCACAATTATACCTGGGGACTGATCCCTGCCTGCCCCTTGCTTTGTGTCCCACTTGTCAAGCACCTTTTATCTGTCAAGAGGCTGAATCAGGGGGGACACAGATCACAACCAATATTTAGTAGGGGCCCTTTTGTTAGTTAAGCTGTTACTGTGTTTACTCCCAGGCAGAGAGCATCACACTAACATGACAGCAGCTTGCAGGGAGGAGTTACAGCCCTTCAAGGGGCCCTTTGCTCCCTCAGGTGTGTGTGTATTTACAGACACACATAGCTATGTGTATGTAGTCATGCCCCTGGACATGGTCCCCGTTATCCAACAAGTCATTGATGTTCCTGGACACCAGTGGTCTTGGAGAGCTTTGGAAGATGATTTGTGTTGCGAATTTATCAGCTTTTACATATTCAACAGCGTTGTTGATGGCTGGAGCTCATCAGCCACTGGGAGACTCTCACACTGACTGTTCTCCCCACCCTGAGGTTTTCAGGTGGATGTTTCTCCATCCACCATTCCACTCACACACTCTCACACACAAGGTAACTTCTTCACGAGCTAAACAGCAACGGAACCGTGGAGCTAAGCCTTTGCTACGTTTTAGCTCCACCTGGGTGATACATGTTAATCCTTCCAAGAGGAAACAGACGGTTTTATAAACGGTGTTCAAACTCCCTGTGCTCAGACGAGACACGTTCTCTCTCAGCTCTGAGAGAGATCACACAGAAAGGACAGGCAAAGCTCCTCTAGATGGACTCTGCTTTCCAGGGGAATGTTCCAACCATCCTTCTGTTTTCCTTGACCTATTGTCACTCAAGTTGAACGTGAGTCAACAGTGCCCTGGCGGCCCTTTGGGGCCGCCAGGGCACTGTTGACTCACGTTCAACTTGCCATCAACCACGACCCCCCAGATCCCTTTCCAAGATGCTGCTCTCCAGCCCCTCATTCCTCAGTGTGTGTTGCCCCATCCCAGGTGCAGAACCCCCCCTCCATCTCCCCCTACCCACCTTGCCCTTGTGTGTCTCCTGCAGCCACTGGCGCAGGCGGATCAGGCAGCTCTCCTGCAGGGGCGTCAGCTGGCCCAGGTAGCGCTCGATGTAATCGGCGTCCAGCTTGTCAGCTGGAAGGAGGAAAAAAACCCGAGGGAATAGTTCAGAGGAGAAGTGGCCTGAGAAGCCTCTTTGCAGCTGCCCGAGGGAGGGAAGGGTTTGTGTCACAGTGGCTGGTGGTGGGAGACCACAGACAGCGAGCACGGAGTGGGTCCAAACTGGGTCGCTGCGCTTGTCTCTCAGAACACTGATAATTCCAATCCAGCCCGAACTGCTCCAGCAGGAGCTTCAAAAGATAAATCACGAGCTCTAGCTGCTCACTAACCACTCCAAGACCTGGGCACTTCAATCCCCAGTTGTCCTCAAGTCTCACGCACAGTTCCAATAAACAAGAAGCTAAAAAAGCAGCTCGCTGGAAAACCAGACTGTTACTCTGCTCAAGGACAGCAGAGGGAAAGGGAGAATAACACCCCATTTCTGACAGCAAGGAGAGGGAGGGGGGAGGTTTAGCAGGGGGAGAGAAGTCCTGTGCACACCAGCAGCTCAGAGACAAAGGACAAGGGGTTGGTGGCTGCCAGCACTGAGGGCCAGATGTGCCACCCAGGGCTGGGGTGTGCAGTGCCAGTGAGGGGAACAGGGCACCAGGGCACACGAGGGGCAGGGCTGGGGGACAACCTCAGAGCTGCTCTTCACGAGGCACAAGGGGCTGCACCAGATGCCACGACCTGCAAACAAGGGCTGGACACCCACAGGGTAAGCAGGATAGCACAGAAAACATGTTTGGAAGTGCTACACGTGAGCTGGGGAGCAGGAATACAGGCAGAAAAAAAGGTCAGGTGAGAACAGACATTTCCAAATTCCAAGATTTTTCCCTGGTTACACTCAGCAAAACAAGTGCTGTCTTTCCTTCTGAGGAATGACAACAACTCTAAATTCAAAGGTCCCTCCTATTTCTTTTTTTGTCAGAGAAGTATTTTATTTAGTCTACAAGGTATCAGACATGGCATGATAAAGTCTCATTCAGGTATTTTCTGGGAGAAATGCATGAGGCAACATTCTGCAAGTTTGTCTTGGCCTGATAAAGGGGCAAAAGCCAACCAAACTGGTCCCCAAGAATATTAATTTTGAAACAGACAAAATATTTCATTAAAATTCAACTCTAGCATATTCAAGACACTTTTAAGCTTCTCCATTTTTTTTTTTTTTCTACTCCAAAGTAGAAAATACCTTAAAGGGCAGATCATTTTCTTTTCTAAGCTCAAAAACATACTGCTCGTGCAGCTTTTCTTAGCTTTTCAGTTTTAGGGAGGAAAGGAAAAAAAAAAAAAAACCCATTGTTTGTTTTTCTTGGAAAAAAAAAAAAAAAAAAGAGAAAACAACTTTCCTTCCTCCTCACCCACAATCCAGAAGAAAAACCTGATGCCAAAAGAAATAAAAATAAACTCCTTAGTGCTACTCGAGCCTGGGCACTACATACCATCAGGGCTGGCAGCCTCTGCAGAAGGGCAGGGGGACCCAGGAGCCCCAGAATCCAGTGGGATGTCACCAGCCTCGTGTTCCAGAGCCGGGCTCGGCTCATCCTGCCCGCTCCCGGCCGGAGGGCTCCAGCGTGGGATGAACGTGATCCCCTGGGAGATCAGCTCCTTCAGGTAGTGCTCAATCACCTCCTTGCCCTGCAGGGGAAAACTTCCTGTTAGGAAAAGCATCCTCCAGACCCAGCAGGGTGGAGGGTTTTCCTCAGGGCAGATGACTGAGGCTGCCAGAGATGAACCATCTGCACCCCCCTGTTGAGAACCCTTCTGTGGGAAAGGTGAATATCGAGGGTGAATTACAATTAATACTGGACAGGCAAATTCCCAGTGCTACGGGTGCAGCTGCCCTTAAAACACTTATCTCCTTCTCCTGCCTCCAAACCATCAGTCAGCTGCCCTGCTCCTCTGCAGCCCAGGCCAACAGGCCAGTGAAAGGCAGTGCCTCTGCCCAGGAGAGACAGGGTGCTGATTTTCACCCCCAACTTTCCCTTCCCGCACAAGAACAGTGTCCCCACTGTCCGAGGAGCCTGGCACCCCCAGCATCCACTGCAGCCCTCCTCTGGCACGGCCTGCTCCATCCCTGACAGCCACATTCCAGCCAGCAGATTGTTCTCTGCTCATTGCACGCCGGCTTCTCCCTTCCTTTGCCCGCTGGAGGGATTTCAGAGCCACAGCAAAGGGTACAGAACCACACTGGGTCTGTTCCCAGAAAGGAAAAAAATCCAGGCACGCAGAGCAGGTGTGGGATTTGGGCTTGTGGCCCCCCTCTTACCCGTTTGATGTTGGAGGTGTACTGCTTCATGGCGATTTTCTCCACCGTGCTCTCGAAGCCAAAGAAGGACTTGATGTCGAGAGACGCCGACTGCTCGAAGCACGTCCACTCCTCGTTCTCAGGGTGCACCTACCCCCCCAAAGGACACGTGGGGTTGGCACATCCTCGTGGAATGGCAGGGCCCTCGTCCCTGGCACCACGCTGGCTGATCTCCAGAGTTACAGAGCCAAGGGGGCAGAGGAAGCACTGACTGCACTTAACAGGGTAATTCTCCCAGAGTAACAGAAACCCATCACAAACTGGGCATGTGGGTGCTTTTTAACCCAACATTCTTCACATGCACGGGGAAGTCAAGGTTCAACCCCACCTCTGCCCCAGCAGACCTGAGAGGTAACAATAGTACCAAAAGTTGCATTAAAATAGGAGTGAATCTGCCCACTTGAAACCACGATGTCAAGAGCTCCTTATGGAAAGACAAGGGATGGCCTTGTGGGCCATGTAATTAAAACTTCTACATCTGCAGAGAAGAAAAATTAAAACCAGGGTTTTTTTTTTTTCTAGTTTTGGATGGGAACTCAGCCACTAATGTCAGCCTTTCCCCCCCAAAACACTGGAGACGTGGCAGAGCAGGGAATTTTCCTGCTCAGTTCAAAACACACCTTTCCAGTCATTTCCCCTCAGTTAACTCTATATATGGTAAAAACTAAATAATCTTTTCCTCTTTTAAACTTAACCCTTTCCTGAGGAGGCTCTGCCTTCTCTCTGTAGGTGCTGCTGTTCACAAACTGACATGAGGGAACAACAGTTCCAGCCCCCACACAGCGATAGGATAAAGGACAGATTCCTCGGGGGCACAGTTAATAACTGCAGCAGCAGGATCAGATTTCTCCAAGTTGCCTCAGAGAACCCTGCAGGAAAGGAAAGATGAGAATAAACCTGCTTCCGGTGCACTCTGGCAGGGAAAAGGGAACTGGTAAAAATAGAGCAGGGAACCATCTTGAGGATGCAGCCAGGAGCTCCCACCCTGTTCCCCTCGAAGCTGACGTTTCCTTCCGAAGGACACGGGACACGGCCAAAATCAGCAAGTGTAACAATGTCTGAGAGATCCCAGAGATGACCTGGGAGCGTTTCGGACCCATCAGCGCCTTTGACAATGATGGAAGTTTGATTTACTGCGGTTTTTAGGAAACCCCATGGAGCCACCAAGTGATCTCTGGCTCACGAACCCCCTCAACCATCCAAAACGTTGACAGCTTTGCAGCTCCTCCGCTTGCTTGGAGCTGCTCACGGCTTGCTGGCTCCCAAGAAGCTGAGCTGTTGTCCAGCCTGCCAAAAGGGCAGGTAAGTAACAGGATCTGGGCTTTTGTTTAAGGAACAAAAAGCAGTATCTGATTGCTTCCAGAAACAGCTGAAGCTGTTTAACGGTGACCGAGCCCTACGAGCGCAATTACAGTGAAGTGGCACCCTGTGCTGAGACAGCCCAGGCCACAAATAAGGCTCAAGACCTTTCTCCAAATCTTCAGAGCACAAAGATCATGACAAGGTGCTAAAACTTTGACTTAGTTGTGGGCAAAATTAATTGCCAGACTCTCATCGTAATAAATATTAAGGGTTCCACTCTAAACATCCAGATACATTCTCAAGATCCAGATGCTTTTATTAACTTGAATTTCAACCGAAAACAAACTCTGGGAATACCAGCAGCTCTGGAGCACCATCTCTGTTTTCTACTCTCACTCTAATCAGAGAATCCCAATCAACCCAAAGAAGCTTGGGCTGAATCACAGAATGGTTTGGGTTGGAAGGGACCTTGAAGACCATTTAATTCTACCCACCCCTGCCGTGGGCAGGGACACCTTCCACGAGTCCAGGTTGCTCCAAGCCCCGTCCAGCCTGGCCTTGGACACTTCCAGGGATGGCGCAACCTGTGCCAGGGCCTCCCCACCCTCCACAGCCAACAACTCCTTCCTAATATCCCACCAGCCCTGCCCTCTGGCAGTGGGAAGCCATTCCCTGTGCCCTCCAGGCCCTTGTCCAAAGTCCCTTTCCCAAAGCACAAGAACCATATCTGATCACAGAACGCTGCTGTCCAGTGCTGCAGGAGTGCCCAAATCCCTCCACAGCACCTCCACCCTGTCATCAGTGCCCAGTTCCCATCACATCCTTCCAGCACCCAAGGAAGCAGAGCACTCACTGAGTAGCTGCAGGTCTCCCGCACCACGACGCGGTTGGCGAAGGTCTCGTTGTGGGCCTCGATGCGGAGGGTTCGCTCCCTCCAGTTCACGGTGTTCCTCTGGATGAAGAAGACATGCTCCACCCCTGCAATCTGAGGGGGTGGGGGGAAGAACCAAAAGGAGGGGAGAAAAGAGAAAGAAAGGGTAACTTCAGGAGCCTTTACCAGGAGCCAACAAAGCCCAGGTCTCCCTGTGCCCCGGGTTCCACCTGCCTTCTTCAGCAGCCTGGGAGCGTCCACGTTCAGTTTGCAGCTCCGCTCGATGACGTGAATAGCCCCGTCCTCGCTCCTGGATTCGTGCAGGATTTCACTCCCCAGGAACACTGGGATCTCTGGACACGTAGGGAAGCGCTTCTCGTACGCCTGGAAGTGAAAACAAAGCAAGTTCAGCTTCTGGGAGGATCAGCTTTAACTTTCCTGCCCAGAGAGGTGGTGGATTCACCGTCCCTGGAGGGTTTTAGGATGAAGCTGGATGTGGCAGGATGAGGCTGGATGTGGCACTGAGTAACCACAGTGGGGTTGGATCCAGGGTTGGACTCGATGATCTTGGAGGTCTCTTCCAACCCAATTAATTCTATGATTCTATGATTCTTTCTGGATCAATTAACTCCCTTGCAGTAAAACTCCAACAAAACAGAGGCCCCTCAACCCCTGTGTTGACTCCACTTCTCTCAGAGGTGAAGTTAAAGCAAAATAGTTACAAGCAGAGCCAGGACCAAGTCACTCATCAGCCAAACGTGTGTTAATATAATTTTTCTTTCACACATGACGCAGAAACAAAATCCTGCTGTTAAGGAGTACTAGGAAGGGACTCATAATAAGGAACCTCATGGCAAAAGCAAGCACAGCTCTGCTGATTTCTGCTGGCTAAGGACTTGAATTTCATTATCTCTGGGTCAAGTCAATACCGTCTGCATGAAGAAGCTATTAAAAATATTTAACACTCTGTACTTTAAAATGTCATGTGTCAAACAGTTCTAGTGGCCCTAAACTATCAAGGGTAAGACCGTAAATTGTCGGCTATTCACTTTGCCTTGCTTTATCCATTTCTGAAGCAGTTCTGTCCTGGCTCTGAAATCTTCCTTCTTTTAATTAGCACATCCCTCTGAAAAGCCCTTTATCAGCTCCAACAGAAATCCAGTTTTCCATGGCACTTGCAGCAAGTTAACTTGTATAAACCTACTGTTGCTCCTCTTTCCCTAAGAGGAGCATCTCTTATTATATGCACTTCTCCATCTCTTACTATATTCTGAGATGTTTGCAGGACAGAATGTTTTCCTTGGATTTCTGACAAATGTCTTGCATGTTGTGATTCTGTTGTAGATATGTGACTGCTGCATAAGCTGCCCAGAGTTCCACCAGAGCTGTTCCAGGAGAATCTGTGCTCTCCTTCCACCGCACTCTCGGAGCTCCACGTTTTGGCTTTAAGATTTTTCTGCCACCATTCCAAGGCCAACCCTAACCTCCAGGAGGTGCTGCCAACTTGCCATCTTCCATAAGACCCAACCATTTTATTCAGTGCATAAAAACACAGCTCCTCAGGAGAGGAGTGTCCACGCCAAGGAAACGTTGATGTGATAACTGTCGAGCTCGGGGCGCTGTCAGTGCACCCACATTCCCTGTTCCCACAGCAATCCAAAAAGGCTGGTTGCCCCTGCATGGATTCATGGCCCCTGCTCCCAAAATAGCCCAGGCACTTAAGGACACATTCCATGTCTCCTGCTCCTGGAGCTCTGGACGGGAAAGGAGTTATTTCAGATTATCGTGTTGCTCGGTATCAGGAGGGAAGTGCAGGCAGTGCCAGCTGGAATTCTGGCCATAACAGAGCACACAGGGCTTTAAATCCTGCTCTCCAAGGCACTGAGCAGTGTCCTGCCTGCTCTGCCACATTTCTGGGAGAACTTCTACCTATGCTTTTCACTCTCATCACAGGGAAAACTAAACCAGCGCAGGTAAATAAAAAGCTTCCCACGGCGAGTGAAACCGTTTCCAACACTGATCCACGTGGCTCCAGCCAGCAAAGGCACATGCACTGCTTTAAGCAGCTCAATTTGTTGTGATGGGAATTCATGCCTAGATGTCAGGCACTGTCACGGGACACTTGCAGGGTACACTCCTCCAGACTCCATCTACCATCCCGTGCCATCCCGAGGCCACAGCCTTTGCCTTGCTGCTCTTCCCTGTTCTAGCAGATCCCAGCAAGTGCCTCCAGGCCACCCACTCTTAGTTACTGGAGTCCCAGCAGTCAGACAGTGAAAGCTGAGAACACCTTTGTAGGCCACTGGGATAACAAAACATTTAGCAAGCATTTTTCAGCTGTTTGTCCCGTGTCACTCCTTCCCTGTGCCCTTAACACACTTGCAAAAAGTGTCACTGAAAACCCTACCCTGAGAGAAGGCTGCCCCAGTCGTCACCTCAACCAGGGTGAACAGTTTGATAGGACAGAGGGGAATGGTCTTTAAAAGAAGACAGATTTAGATGGGATATTGGGAAAAAATTCTTCCCTGTGAAGCTGGGGAGGCCCTGGCACAGGGTGCCCAGAGAGGCTGTGGCTGCCCCAGCCCTACAAGTGTCCAAGTGTCCAAGGTTGGATGGGGCTTGGAGCAACCTGGGCTAGTGGGAGGTGTCCCTGCCCATGGCAGGGGGTGGAACTTGATGAGCTTTAAAGCCCCTTCCAACCCAAACCAGTCTGTGATTCTACTCTTTCAGGGGTGCAGCTGTGCCAGGAACATTTGAGGGAGTTTGCAGAGGAACAAGAGCTGCTCTGCTGGGACCAGGAGCCTCCAAAGGCCTCAGTGAACAGCTTCACCAGGAGCACTGAGCTCCAAGTGCCCCCTCACCACTGCAAGGCCACAATGACCAGTGTGAACCTGCCCCCCCCCCCCCCACTGCATCCAGCTGCTTCTGGCTCCCACCTGAAGATAAAGCCCCGGGATCTCAACACCACTCCCTCTTTCCCCACTTTGACCCAGCTGCAGACAGGCTCCCTAATAAACTGTCATTAAATCCAGCAAAAACCAGACCAGGACTAAGGGAGTGCAGCCACTATTTCAGTCAGCTGAACCACACCTGGAGAACCAGGACAGGCCAGGGAGAGACACACGCCAGTGATACAGCTACAACAGCACCCAAACCCATCACCTAACGAGGGGGAACATTGCCATATTTGAGAAAGAATCCATATCCACACCGATATTAAGTCCTTTGCTAATCTTCTTTGCACAACAGCTCTAAAAATACGGCAGGGAAGATGCCTGAGATCACATGAAGGACAGCTGAGGGCCCCACGCTGCAGGCACAACAAAGCTGCTCCCTGAGCACCCAGACCTTCCACCCCTGCAGGCACAGCTGAGCGCGAGGGCAGCCCCTCTTTGCACCCTCTTATCACAATCAGCATCCACATGCAACAGCCTGTTTCTGCTCCAGCACTGAGGGAAGACATAAATACAGAGGAATATTTCATTTTTGAACAAACCCTTGCCAGCCTAGCTGGGATTTCTCCTCGTGTGATTCTGCAGAGTACAAGGTGAACCACAGAGTATTTAGTGTTAGTTTGGTTTAATGCTGGGGCTGCCTGCACTTGCTCTTTCAGCTCCCTGCTGCAGGAACTCTGCTGATATATAGGAACTGGCTCATATATAGGAACTATGATTTGCCTCTGCCTTCTCTGCCCTCATCCCAGAAGGAATAAAAGCAGTTATTGTGCCCGGTGGACTGGCAGAACCAGCTCACACTCGTGCACTTTACAACAACCATTTTCTTAAAGGTTCAGATTAACGTGCTCTCATCATTTCACAAGGGATGGTGGCCCAGACCCCACTCGTGTCCTTCCCTACATCAGCCTGCTTCCCCCTAGATTTCAAAAACAAAAGAATTGTTGCAAAAATCAAAATTTTTTGTCGCGACCACCAGTCCAAAGTATCATTTAAATCTTTGCAGTCCTGAAACTGAAGTTACACGTTAAATTTCACAAGAGGGCTGAGTGAACTCAGAGGGATGTGGGATCTGTTTGTATTCTTCAAGATAGTTTGTTTAGAACTATAACCACTTATTTTTGGGTGCCTCCAAATGTAAAGAAAAAACAATAATTTGAATGCAGCTGGCAGCCTGCTCGAATGAAAAAAATTCAACTAAGAAGAAATTAAATGAAAAAAAAAACATTACAAGGGAAGCTGAAGATCTCAAGGTCTCAGATCTTCCCTTCACACTGACGGGAACCCAAACTAGGACCAGGATATTTCCAACTTACAGCGATCTCTGCATCCCAGCAAAGACCCCTCAGTGCCACTGAGGCTGACAAATGATTTGTCACACCAAGCAACAATTAATTAATAGTGAGATGGCTGACTGGGAAAACAGTAGAGTGCTCTGACCAAGGTTTTGCCCTCTGATCTCCTGGGAAATGTGTCCCAGTGGCTGTACCTGTGCTGAGCAGACTATGGGACCAACACTGAGAGATGAACATCAGGCTGTGAGAGGAGAGTTGGAGAACAACGGCAGAAGCCACTTGAAAGTGGCTTGAAAGTGTCCTCAAGCGCTGGTCAAACACACAGCAACCCCACAGCTGTGGGAGGAGGTGGCCCTGAGGATCAGCCAGATGCCAAACAGAGCAAATTAGACAAAAAACAGGTCAAAATGAAAAAATGAAACACTCTAAAGCCTCACAGCCACAGAGAAAGGGGGAAACGGGCCTCTTCTACAACCCCCTGCTTCACCTGCCTAACCCCTTCCCCTCCAGAGCAGAGGGTCCTGTCCAGCCCTGCACCTTCCCAGTTCCAAGGTGACAGTGCAAGTGTGTCCCTGCTCTTCCCACAGGACCCACAGCACACAGCAGTGGGCAGGAGCCTTTCCAGGTGACCTCGAGAGCAATTACACAACAGAGGCCTCAGGAATCCAAAACTACAGGGGTGTGAAACCACTGAATTACGGCCTGAAACAAAACACCTCCCCAACCAAACCCCCTGCACACCTCGGGGCAGCCTCTTCCAGCCCAGGCTCTGCCAGGCCTGGAGTGGTTTCCACGTGCTTCGAGGGGCAGCTTTTGTTGGAGGATTTTATTTCATACCTTAACATCCTACAGGGAAAAACTGACTCCTGTATGATGGCAAGACCAACCTTCAGGAGTGCAAAGGGGGGTAATTATACCGTGTAGAGCACAAAGGAGCTAAACTGGGATGCACCTGATGTAGACAGAAACTTGCAGTCAGTATTTACAGGAATGTGTTACAAGGGTAAGTGTTTCATCCCTGGGGCAAAAACACTTCAAACTTGCATGCTCAACCACAGTTTAAATCTGTATGACTTAACAAGATTCCTCGAGGTCACGTTACAGCCCTGTGCAGACTGCCAGGAAAAAGGAAGTT